CCACGCATGGAGAGGTACCGTCCGTGACATCATTGAGGCCGGCTAGATCAGGGATGATCACAACCGTAACAGGTACAAGTAAGTAAGTTCGCGGCGCTTCGCGCCGCGCATACCTTCAATTTACATGCGGAACAACTTACTCGCAGCGGCCGCGGGAAGCAACTTCGAATACATTTTTTCCACTTACTTCTAAGAATTATCTTCTCTGCCTATCCTATTTCCCCGACCCCGAAAACTCTATAACCAGCGTTTTTGCCGGACAAATTGCTGGGACTAGGAGTATATGAGTGGGCCTATATAAGCTACTTTTGCCGCCCTTTTAAATAATTGGGTTTATGTTTTGACAAGGACGCAGTATACGACCCCACTCGGGCACGAGGATTAGTTCAACGTGTATCACGGAAACAGTTATAATATGTGTTTTACGAATGAAAGGTTAACGTTTAAAAGTTTGTATTTTCCCATTCAATTTTTAAATAATTAGTTGACCTTGAAAACCACCCGGAAAATTTAAAAAACGTGTGTCTAAACAAAATCAAAATACCAATGATGATGTACTGTACCACCAAATTACCAGCTGAATAAGGAAACCTATGTTCCATGGGTATAGCCGACGCGTAAGGCCAATTCAACCAATCCAGCTGAAGAAGGGAACACGTTAGCACTTCTTCCGAGTCTGAAGTTGTGAAAAGGCAGGCGAGTCAAGGTAATGATTCAGTCGGCAGCAACGTAAACCAAGCGACCGGAATTAGCTACAGCAAAGTTAACTACCATTACTTTAACAATATAAGTAGATTGTTATAAGTACTTGTTTGAGTTGGGTATCACATTGCGTTTTTCTTCATTCCCTTCCTCCGTCGATATGTAGGAGGCGGTTGCACAACTCTCCGGTCGACTTCCTGTAGCAGTCGAGGAGTCCCTCTGCGCCCTTACAGCTTCGTACGCGGACGAAGTCACCTCGATGCTCTCCAACTTTCCCGCTGACAAAATAGTCCGTCTCGTTGAGGGTCACATTGCTTCTCGGCGCCTAGAAAGTGCCGGTGAACCGAATGCCACCGAAGCCAGTATTGCGTCCTTCCAGCAGACTATAAAGCGACTTATCGATCTGGCAGATCGATATCGTGGGGGCCTCAGGGGACACGCTGCTCGCGCGATTACCAATCTCCTCCTAGCCTACCTGGCTGTTGAACAG